ATTCTGGCTTAGGTGCCACCTTTTCCTCTGCCCTGCATGGTTTAAGCTTGTTACATCCATAACTTATCCCCGGATTTGCAAAGTGCACTTCGTGTTTTAAATAGAGCAAGCTATATGTATGGGAGGGGATGTTTGGAGTCAGTATTTGCGTTGCCACACTCCGTGGTTACCAGACGCTATAATAAAATCACTTGCATCAGAGGAAAGCTGACAACACATTTTAGCACTTCCATAGCCCTACTTAATCACGGCAGGAAGCTTTCCTGCTGCTAGGAGAACATGTTGCGTCACCAGAACATCTGACACCGGTGTCTAATGTCAATCACTTTGCTTAAGGTCATTAAAAATATTAGGGTGTCCCCTTACGATGTACAGGTTTTGCATGAGTGACAATTCATGGGAAATGCATAGCATGATAAATAATGGAACAGGTGGACTAACGTGGTGTCTTTCCTGTTTAAAATGAGAAAAGTGATTGACATTAGCAAAGCTGGATAAGCTAAATAGGGCTGTTGATTTTTTTTTTTCCCTTGGGAACACAATAGTTTTTCTGACTCCTTCTTCCCCCTCCCCATTTCTTTTTCCTCAGTGGAATTTTGCGGGCTGCCGAGGAGAGAATTGCAGGGGCCATAGAGATGCAGTGATTTCCACTACATGCACGTAGCAGCTCAGCCCCATGATTCGCAGGCTGAGCCCAGAGCAGAAGCAGGCCTGTTGCCCTCTTCAGAAGACTTTCCTATACGTGTGTCTTCCCTTTGCCATTGCAGCGATACAGGCGAGCTTGTGTGCAGCGAGTGGAAGAAAAGTAGAGGTGCAAGGTGAGGCTCTGCTCCAAGTCAAAAGGCCAAACTCAGTGGAACGGAAGCAATGGGGTTTTGGGAGCAGTTTATTCAGGAAGGGTAAATAAGAGTGAGTAAGAGTCACTCTGCTACTACAAGAGGAGATTTCCTTTCCCTCGTCTCTGTTCTTTATATTTGCACTGCATATACAAGGACACAGCAGAGTGCTTGCACCATCCCCTGCCTTGCTAATTGTGGAGCATCTAGGCATTAAGGACTGTGTAAGCAGTGACAGACAGCATTGCAGTGACCCTAGGCATGATCCTCTAGCATAGCAAAGCTTCAGACACAACACGGTGTCCCCTAATACCAGCTAACTGACAGGTTGAGAGGCCTCAAGGTAATGCTGCTGAGCTCAGTAGCATTGGCTGTATCCTAGTCAGACAAGGTACACGCACAAGCATCTTCATATTAAGCAATGAGTGAAAATCTGTGGAGGAATTCACTCTTGTTTGTCCTTTATTCAGAGAAGCAAAATAATAACCTTATGGGGAAGAATCCCAGCACCTGGTCCTGGTCTCCCGCAGGAGCAAGGCAGAGGTTGTCAACAGTCAGAGACCTCATGCTGTTAAGGATGTTTTCACATGTTTCATCACTAAATTGCCACATGGCCTTAGAAACTGGCACAGACTTCTCCACTGTGATTTGTATGCATTGATTTTGGGACAGTCTGAAGTAGTAGTAGCATCTTTTCTGAATGGCCAATGATGACATCCAACACAAGCGTCACAGTCTGTGTTTTTTCTTCCTGCAAATCTACATATTACGGGCATTTTCATTACTATCCTCTCTCTCCCTGCACCCAATGTCCTGGTTCCAACACATTCTTTTTAGCCCTTAAAAACCAATCATTCTGGAAAAGATGCTACGTGAGTATAGCGTGGAAGGCTTAGCACCTTCATTTTTCCAGAAGCTGGTGATATTGTTAGATTTGAAATGTTTTTTACAAAGGCACATTTACAATGCTTTTACAAGGGTCAACCCCCTCAAACTGGTCAGCTACAAACAGCAAAATTTCTGCTTCAGCTTTTGAATCCCATGGCCTAACCTGGATTGATTTGGGGTTTCATGCCTGCATGCCGGGTCATGCAATCCACCAAGTCTTTGACACAAAGCCATTTGGAACTCCACAATTGCTGTTTGGTGTTTCTCATGGGAACCTGAAAGGCAAAAGTCAGCCTGGAGGATGCAACCCTGTGGAGATCACAATGACTTTCCAGTTCAGAAACACCTTCCCTTCTGGTGTGAAAAGGCTTTGAATGCGACAAATGGTATTTTGGTTCTGGGAGAGGTTGGGTGGGAGCTGATGCAAATTTTATTGTCACAATTGCTTGTCTCTCCCTTCCTGAAAGCTCTGGCAGCATTGCGCAAGCAAAACTGCCCTCACAAGGATAGAAAATTATCTAATAGGGGAATTGCGCTGGTGCACCGGGCAAATGTTACGGGGATCTTAAATAATAATTTCAAAACCTAAGCACAGGAAATTGTGTCTGTAACTACACCCTGTATTGCTATTGTACACAAAGCCAGTTATAGCCTGGGACAGTATTTTAAAATAATAATCAGTTTGGTATGACAATGCTTAGTATTTGTTCAAGTCAAAACGCCCAATTTACGATTCCCCAGTCACTTAACATGTCATGTTTTGTACGTGACTGTGGTTCTAATACCATAATTTGCCAGGTTTAAAAAAAAAAAAAAGAAAAGAGAGAGAGAAAGGTTAGTTTCGTGGATTTGTGTCAAGAATTAAGTTTCTTTGCCTTGGACACTCGGGAGAGCTCCTGTTACCAAACAACGAATGTGCAATATTACTGCAGCTCCACAGAATAGGAACCAGACTCAGAGTACGGAATAAAAAAAGGCCTGAGAGTCTCATCAGAATCCGGAAGGGTCAGGCCACAAACAAGCTCTCTGCAGTATCCACTATTCGTGCCTCAGCTTTGCTTATCCAGAGTCAAAGTCCAGGGCCACCGCTCCTTTAATATCTGAGATGGAGGTTGTTGCATATTATTAAAAGGTTTCATCTAATTTGGTTTTACAATGGGCTCCAAAATAAGAAGAGCAGAACAATATTTGCAGCCATCATTTTGCACATCTATTTCCAATGCCTCTGATGCCTTTAGATTGTAGGACATTTTAGCTCTATCAGTATAAATCTCTGTCAATTACAAAGGGCTTTTATATGTAAAAGTACATTAACATATCAAGAATTGCACTGTATGATGTGAAAAATGATATAAATCCTGGCAAAACTGTATGTGTAGACTAAATCTTACAGGCTAAACCATATGGGAGAACAATGGTCTTAAACTGCAGAATCAACTTGAATTTTTGGCTTTTATTCAGACTGTTGATGTTACTATTAACATGACAGAGGACCTAATCCTTCCTCTTGTGAGCAGCCAGTTGGAGTCCTATTGTCCTAACTCCTGCATCCAAAAATTTGCATTTGCAGCAAACGTGACATTTTTGAAAACCACTTTTTTTGATTGATTTCACTTCTTAACTCTTCTGTGCTTTCTAGACTAAGAGGAAAAAAGTATTAAACTTTAAAAACGGAGGAAAAGAGGAAAGAAAGAGAACACACAACAGCAAATGTTGGACACTACATAAAGTCATGGAGGGATAGTAGAACTTTACACAAGTGCCTTGCTGAAAGACAGAGACTTTTAAAAATATGTAAGTCTTGTTTCTGATACATCCTTGGCTGTATCCTCAGTTCCATTCTTGTAAAATGCCTGAAGTCCCTAGGTTAACATCAGTCTTAGATCTCACCTCATATTTCTTCTCCTTTTCTGTTTCCCAGGAACCAGTTAGCTCAGCAAAAGGCAGAAGTTTAATTTCTTACCATCTTTGCAATCTGACTGAAATTAAAATGGCCATTTGGGATGCGCAGAGGCAGTGCCCCCCGGTTTTGTAAGCTATAAGGCATTCAGCCACAGTCTACTCTTGAAGAGGTAGGCACTATATAGAGGTAAATATTTCTGTACTGCAG